AAAGATTATGACAAGCTTGCTGCTGGCAGGTATGATTACGTGTGTGCGTGCGTGCGTGCGTGCGTGCGTGCGTGCGTGCGTGCGTGTGTGTGTGCATGTTTGTTATTTGTTATGTATATATTAATGGATCAGTTATCGAACAGTAACAAGGTTTTGCAGACATGCAATTCACAATTTATTACTCACCTCTATTGTATTTAAACCGATTTACAGAAAAATGATGATTTCTGTCTGCTTATTTGCATAGTTTGGCAGGACATTTAATTGAATGTGGTGCACAAGCAACTGGTGGCATATTCACTGACTGGCATAAAGTACCTGACTGGTAAGTCATTGTCCGTGAATATACACTAATCCTAGGTTGTTGTTAGACATAAATATGTGAATGGAATTTTATCATCTCTGTAGCAATTGCCACTATAGTTGCTTCGTGATCTGCTACTGCAGTCGCAATATATATCTAATTGTAGAAATTGTTTTATTGTTCATATTCAATGCCACTTTTATTTCATGCATATAAAAATACATGGTTAGTCACAGTTTCTTTACAAATCACTTCTTGACAATTTTTTTAAATATATGAGGAATAAACTACGAAAACTCAATAATATACTAAAACAATAATATAAAGTACGACTAATAAATAATAAAAATGTGATTTGGCACTATTCTAATCCTAACACTTTTGCAATTGGAGCATATCTTTTCCTTCTCTTGCAAATACCTTAGGGACAACATTGGCTTCCCGATTGTAGAGTGTGCAGACAATGGAGACATAGTAGTGACCAAGCCACCGAAGACTGGTGGACTGGTGAACACCTTCACAGTATCAGAACAGCTCCTGTATGAGATTGGTGACCCTCGCTCGTACATGCTGCCCGATGTGGTATGCGACTTCACCAACGTCTCACTGAAAGACATGGAAGGTGAGTCATCTCGATTCCCAAACACCCTCACAGCTGATTGCTACATGTCTGTGGGGAAATCGGACAGAAGTTTAATCAGTGGTGGCTGTAGCAGTATAGAATGTTTACAGCCGAATGTTAGCGATGAAGTGTGAGTAATGATGAACCCTGGAAGCTCTTTTAATAGCACAAAATGTTTAAAGCTAGAATTCACAACTGTTGTGTTGCTTGGAATAGTTCCATGCCAATTGGAATTTGTTTTCGTGTCCTGATTTCCATTTGTTTGGCATGATCAAGGGTCCGTATTTGTCTCTGGGGCCAAAGGCATGCCTCCTTCTAACACTTATAAGGTACGTGTGATTTTACTGACATAACACACGTCAAATCTTTGTATTCATCGTGTTTGTTATGCATTTATTGTATCTGCCTAGCAATGTAGTTGGCTTGCAGGCTTACCGCTATCAGTTGGCTGTGTCTTCCTTCAGTGAGCGGCTTCTTTCTATATTAGGTGAGTGCTACGTATGCAGATGGCTTCAGAGCCACAGCCATGTGCCCTGTAGGAGGTCCTAGAGCAGCCGAGAAAGTTCATAGGACCACCGAAGCAATCCTGAAGCGGTTAGAAACTCTACTAATCTATAAACGTGAATGCTAATAATGAAATAGATAAATTAATAACACAGGCACGCACGCCCGTATATAGTCAGTAGAATAATGGAGATAGTGGTATAAAACTCCTGCTGTGCCATCCGTATTATATAGAGATTTAAGATTTAAAGCTAGATTGAATTAACTGATGTATAATATTCATTTAAAAGAACTCAATTTTCGACTATCCAGTCTTGGTCGCAATTCAATAATCAAAATTCCCATGCTGCTGTTTCTTTGTGTACCAAAAACACCACTTCATTTGCCTGTCTAAGTAAATCTGGGAGAAAAAACTTCACTCATTTTTTAAAATAATACTAGCAACAGTTCTGTATCCTATTAATATAGTTATATTTTATAATGAATATTTACGATTATCCAACCAGCGATAGGTACCATTTAGGTTAGATAGTATATATATACATATATAATGTGTAGTCACTGTTATATTGCTAACTTCTTTATTATCTTATCCCTTATCTTTTTTTAAATAGATGCAGAACCTTGTTTAAAGCATTGAAGCTTGAAGACTTCACCGAAGTGAATGTTGCAGTGCTAGGATCAGAAGATATGTATGGGCCAATGGCATCTGCAGATCTGAAGGTATAAACTGAGCCAAATAGGTTCTATCCCGGCCACATAGAGCATTTAGGTTAATACATTCCATAAGCACGAATATTATTCTGTAGCTGCTCTCAAGCATATAGTTAACAAATTAGCTCTTGGCGTAAAAATTGTGGCTCATAAATTGCTGTATACCAGTTACCCATGAGTCATTGAGTTTTGTTTTCGTTATTAGGCATCGAGGGAGGTGGCTCTCTGGATGGCTGTTCATCATCAGCA